GGAGGAGCGGTGGGTTGCCCAACTCCATGCTAGAGCCACAAGCCAGAAAAGCCAAATGAACGGAAGATAGACTTTCAGGAACTTTGATCTTTGCTGCTCCTAATGTACTCAGCAGAGTGAAAGAGGACCAGTCTCTGAGCTTGACTTCCATGGAGAGTGTTCTTATTTTGGTTCTTTTCATATTTCCTCAGCCTCTTACCACACAAATCCAGGACCAAGGCTCAGGGGTGAGTGGGAGAGATCTGGGATTATACTGTCCCTGGAGCTTTGCCATAGACTGCCAAGAAGACAGATGCTTATCATGGCTGGAGCAAGGTATCCTTCAGCAATCATTGCTTTCCTAAGATTCTTCAGTTTCTTTTAAGTCTCTTCCCTATTTTTTCTCAATCAGGGTTTCTACATTTTATATAATGAAATAAAATGAAACACTGTCCAGGTTGGTTGAACTGGATTTTTTCATAATCTCAACCCTTCAAAGAGGACCACCAGAATAGTTGTGTGTGCATGTTATTCCAAGCCGTTAAGTACATACACAAACATATTTCTGAAGTAGTGGAATGAGCAGAGCAGGAATTTAAAAGAAGCCTAATACATATGCTCAAAGAAATTAGGAAAAATGAAGCAGGAACAGGAAGTCATAAAAAATGAAAATAGTAAATATGATATTAATATTTACAAAAGAATGAATACGTGAGTGGAAGCTTGTATTACCTTCAACCCCACAGGTACCCATCATCATCTCCTACTCTAAGACCAGAGCATAAGTGATGCCCTGGAATTAGACAGACCTGGACTCTATTCTTTACTAGCTTGGGACCTTGGGAAAGTTTCTAAGCCTTTTCAGAGCCTCAGTTTTCCAATATGGAAAATGGAGTGATGGTAATTATACTCACCTCATGGAGTTATTATGAGGATTAAATGAGATGATGCATGCAAAGAGCTTAGGACAGTACTCAGCACAGCAGAATCATTCGATGATTCAGTATATGGATGGCGCTGCTGCTACTGCTGCTGCTGCTGATAATAATGAAGATAATGTTGATGATAGTGTAAGTTGTTTCTAGTCCTTTGTTTCATTCATCTCTTTTTCCATTGAGCAACATTCTCAAATATTTTGGTCTCAGATCCTTTGCATGCTTAAAAATTATTGACGATACCAGAGACATATTGTTTATATTGGTTTTATCAATGATATTTACTATAGGTCAAAACTGAGACTCTAGGGCTTCCCTGGTGGCGCAGTGGTTGAGAGTCCGCCTGCCGATGCAGGGGACACGGGTTCTTGACCCGGTCCAGGAGGATCCCACATGCCGTGGAGTGGCTGGGCCGCTGAGCCTGCGCATCCGGAGCCTGTGCTCCGCAATGGGAGAGGCCACAACAGTGAGAGAGGCCCGCATACCGCAATAAATAAATACATAAATAAATAAATAAAATAATGAACAACTTTATGCCAATACATTTGACAGCTTAGATGATACAGAAAAATTCCTTGAAAGATACAAACTACCAAAGCTCTCTCAAGAAGAAAATCTGTAACCCGAATAGCCCTATATCTAATAAAGAGATTGACTTTGTAGTTTAAAACCTTCCCAGAAAGAAAACTCCAGGTCCAGATGACTTTACTGCTGAATTCTACCCAATATTTAAAGAAGAAATAATACTAAAGTCTACACAAACTTCCAGAAAATGGAAGAGGAGGGAAACTTCCCTACTCATTCAATGATGCCAGCATTACTCTGATACCCAGACCACATATTACTGGTAGACCAGTATACCCTATGAACATAAATGCAAAGATTTTAAACAAAATTTTAGCAAACAGAATCCAACAATACAGAAAAAGGACATGACCAAATGAGGTTTATGCCAGGAATGCAAGATCGGTTTAACATTAAAAGTATCAGTGTAATTCACCATATTAATATACTAAAAATGAAAAAAAATGATAATCTCAATAGATACAGAAATTTTTTTGAGAAAATACAGCATCTGTTCTTCAGAAAAACTCTTGGAAAACTAAAACTAAAAGGGAACTTCCTCAGTCTCATGAAGGGCATCTACAAGAAACCTACAGTTAACATTATACTTAATGGTGAAAGACAATGTTTTTCCCCTTAGTTCAGAAAAAAAGGCAGTTATGTCATCTGTCACCATTTCTAGTCATCATTGTAGTGGTGGATAACTTATTTCCAATGCAATAAGTTAAGGAAAATTGATAAAAGGCATCCAGATTGAGGAGGAAGAAATAAAACGTTTTATTTGCAGATAACATGATTATCTATGTAAGAAATCCCATGGAAACTTTGAAAAAGCTAACAGATCAACATTCACAAATAAATTGTATTTCTACATAGTCACAACAAACAATTGGTAATGGAAATTCAAAAATACAATTTATAATATCAAAATTATGAAATATTTAGGGATAAATCTGACCAAAAAATATGCAAGAGTTGTACACTGAAAACTAGAAAACACTGCTGAGAGAAATTAAAGTAGACTTAAATAAATGATGAGATATACCATGCTCATGTATTGGAAAACTCAATATTGTTAAGATGTCAATTTTCCCCAAATTGATCTATAGATTCAAGACCCTAGCCAGACAGGTTGCACTTATGGACATGAAACTATAGACAGTTTCACATTTATTCAGTATCCATAAATCTTTATTTAGCACCTATTATGTGTCAGCCTCTGAAGATATAGTCATAGACAAAACTAAAATTCCACTCACACCAATTCCAACGTGTGTTTTTTTTTCCACATCACCAAGCAATTCTCAGACATCAGCTGAGTGTCATATAGTTCAACTCAATTCTGCCACTATCTACCTGGCAATAATGTCAGGTCTCACACGTTAAGGGTTCAGTCCTCTCAGACTGCCTGTCTGGCCCCACTTCAGATGCCAATTGCAAGTCCTGGATGTCTACCTGTGCTTCTGACCTACCAGCTATAGATTGGAGGTTCCAACAACCCCCTCCTTGGGTTTGATTTGTTTACTGGAGTGGCTTACAGAACTCAGAGAAACATTTTACTTACTAGACTACCAGTTTATTATTAAAGGATATAACTCAAAAACAGCTATATGGAAGAGATGCATAAGGCAAGGTACAGAAAAATGGCGCAGATCTTCTGTGCCCTCTCTGGGCACATCACTCTCCCCACACCTCCACATGTTCACCAAGCCAGAAGCTTTCTGAACCCCATCTTTTTGGGTTTTTATTACATAGCTATGATTGATTAAATCATTGGCTATTGATTCAACCTCCAGCCTCTTGCCTCCCCAGAGGTTAGGAGTCATGGGACTGAAAGTTCCAACCCTCTAATCACATGATTTGGTTTTCCTGGCAATCAGCCCCCATCCTTAGGTGCAGTCCAAAAGTCACCTCATTAACATAACAAAAGACACCATGCTCATTCTCATTGCTTAGGGAATTCCAAGAGTTTTAGGAGCTCTGAGCCAGAATTGGGGATGAAGGCCAAATACATATTTCTTATTATAAATCACAATATCACAAAGGCGAATAAAATATATGCCCTCATAGAACATATATACTATGAGAGAAAGACAGGAAAAAGGTAGAAGAGAAATCAAGGATGGCTCCTAAATATTTGATTTGAACGTGTGAAGTTGGAGGTGGCTTTTAAGCCTCTCGAAGGGGAGATTTCAGGTAGGCATAAGGAATTAGGGGTCAGAAATTCAGGGGAGAGATGAGGGCTGGAGATATAGATTTCTCAGTCAGCATCAAATAAATGGTATTTAAAGCCATGAGACTGAGTGAGACCATTTGAGAAAAACTTCAGAAAGAAAAGGCCCAAGGCCAAACCCTTGAATATTCCAACATTTGAGGGCAGGACAGAGGGAGAGTATTCAGTAAAGAAAATAAAGAAGCAGTGTTAGGTGGGAGAAATGATCTTTCGTGAGATGTTCTAGAAGCCAAAATAAGGAAGTATTTCAATTTTCTTAAATACCGTTGAGGTCAAATATGATGAGGACTAAGAAAGTCCATTTAATTTTTCAACTGAAATTTCATTGGTAATTTGACAAGAGCAGTTTTAGGAGTGTAGTTATGGTCAAGAAGCCAATTAGAATGGACTGAGGAGACAGAAGTGAGAAAATTTAGACAGCAACAAGAAGCAACTCGCTGGAGAAAATTATTCTATGAAAGAAAGTTAGGAAATAGAGCAATTGCTCAAGTGAGCTACATGTCAAGAAAGGACTTTTTAAAGATTAGATATAAAAATATGTCTTTATGACATTGAAAATGCCAGTAAAGTTAAGGGCTACTAATATCAAGCGGGCTGTTAATGATGCCAGGCAATAGTACTACATTTCTGTAATCCATTCACTCTCACCATTCCTAAATAACATTAGGATCTCAGATGCCATTGATTATAAGATACGTCATTATTTTACATATTACTAAGAAAGAAAAAAAATGCTGCCAATTAAACTATGACATGCCATCATTTGTAAGACAGCAATTTCACAGATGTTGAAATATGAAAAAGTATTAGAATCAATGTAATACAGTATTTTCTTTCCTCAAACCTTTAATACCTTCTCCCTATCTTCACTTTGAGCTTCCTATTTCACTGAGAAAATAGAACTACTCAGGTGAGGACATCCTCATTCTCCCACCACCAAATCTGTCCACCTGTCTGCATCTGTACCTATCGACGCTGCCTCTCCCCCACCCCCTTTGTTAAACATCTTCATTGGAGTATAATTGCTTTACAATGCTGTGTTAGTTTCTGCTGTATAACAAAGTGAATCAGCTATATGTATACATATATCCCCATATCTCCTCCCTCTTGCGTCTCCCTCCCACCCTCTCTATCCCACCCCTCTAGGTGGTCACAGAGCATCGAGCTGATCTCCCTGTGCTATGCAGCTGCTTCCCACTAGCTATCTGTTTTACATTTGGTAGTGTATATATGTCCATGCCACTCTCTCACTTTGTCCCAGCTTGCCCTTCCTCCTCCCTGTATGCCTCCCCTTTTATTTCAATGAATAAATTGTCCATACTCTTGCTTAGAACTGATCCCCCCGATTATGTACTGGATTACATCCCTTCTTTCCTCAAGGACTTTCCTCCTGCAACTGTCCTCTTTCCTGTATTGTCCATTTCCCCCTCTCCACTGTATCATTTTAATTAGGATACAAACACTAATTTCTTCCATCTTAAAAAAAAATTCTGGACCCCAATTCCATATGCAGAGGACAGATTTATTTTTCTACTCATCTTAAAAAAGCAAAACTGAAGAAGTCTATATGTACTTGCTTTCTCCCATTGTTTCATCCCACCCTTACCTAACTCTTATCAGACTTTATCAAACTTCCATCTCTACACCAAAAGGGCATGTTTCAACAACTCCCACACTGCTCAATCCACTAGCCAATTATTAGTTCTCATCCTACCTGACCTATCAGCAGCATTTAATGCAGTGGATCACTCCTTCCTTCTTGGAATATTTTCTTCCCTTGATTTTGCATATTCAAACCCTCCTTCTCTTCCACCTGCCTCACGGATTATTCCATCTCAGTCTTCTTTGTTGGGTCCTTTTCATCTCCCTGACCTAAGCTAGTGTATGGCTAGAAGAAACTGAACTAAGGGTAAATTATTCTCTTTAGCATACTACTGATTTAGATTTTCCAGTATTTAAAAATTCTGCCGTCTATACAGATGGCCAAGAGGTACATGAAAAGCTGCTCAACATCACTAATTATTAGAAAAATGCAAATCAAAACTACAATGATGTATCACCTCACACCAGTTAGAATGGGCATCATCAGAAAATCTAAAAACAACAAATGCTGGAGAGGGTGTGGAGAAAAGGGAACCCTCTTGCACTGTTGGTGGGAATATAAATTGATGCAGCCACTATGGAGAACAGTATGGAGGTTCCTTAAAAAACTAAAAATAGAACTACCATATGAACTAGCAATCCCACTACTGGTCATATACCCAGAGAAAACCATAATTCAAAAAGACATATGTACCCCAATATTCACTGCAGCTCTATTTACAATAGCCAGGTCATG